TAGGGGGGAAATGGTATGTAATCATGATACTATAGCATATTGTATGGGGTCGGGACTTTCATCTTTTCTTGGATTTGATTGGGGTGTTTTTAAGCCTGATGGTTTTGAGAGACTGCTTTTGGATAGGGATAGGGGTTTGGAGTCTGCAGGTTCCTTTTTTGAGTTGGATCCGTGACGTGATTGTGGTAGGGCGGTGGTTGCAAACTTGAAAGCACAGTTTCTTGTGGGCCTGGAGAGTGGCGGCCTAGCCGAAGCACCAAAGTTGCAGAGAAGCCGAAAATTAGATCAGCCACGGCCCCTGCACAAGGTAGTGGGGCGACCCTACCATCCGGAGGCCAGGCTACAGCATGCCAAGCAATTCGTCTCTGCTGCTTATGCTGTTGTGTGTTTGCTGGAAGTAGGACAACAGAAATGCAGGAGCTGCTATCTAAGGGCAGGTGTCTACCATGACTTTCAAGCAGCTCAAATGTTTTCTGAAGCTGTGTTGCAACCTGTTATGATGAAGCCATATGTGCCACCATTTTCTCTTGCTGTACCCGCGAGGTCTAGCCTCCAACCTCGAAGCTGAACACCCATCAGTTAGAAGATGGAACGCTGCAATCCGAATGCCTGATGAACCCCAACAATCTGATCAGAACGCTGTTGGCCTTGCAAGAAACGCCTTAATTCTTCAAGCAACGGATCTCATGAGCTTCTCCAGTTTCCTCCATGCAGCAAGGTCGGCGTGTTCCGCGCCTTTGAGCCACGATCTGGCGAGGTGCGGGGCTTCCTGGAGATTGTCATCGTATTGACCTGGATGCAGTAATCAGCATTCAAAATACAGAATGGTGCTGGAGTTTACGTTTTGCCCCCAAACCCCATTTTTCACAAGATTGTAGAACGAGTTACCATCACGGGAAGTGCCAACAGCAAGAGGATCGACCCGTAGCTGCCGTAGCTCGGAGACGGGCCGTCCAAAGCAAAGGAGTGCTCAAACCTCTGTCATTCATGAACATCCAGAGCTTAAGCTGCAAAGCATCACAAAGCCCGGCGCTGTCAAAACTTGATCGCAAGTAGTTGGAGGCTGGGGCGGCACCACCACCGGGTTGGCGCCGGCCTTTGCTTCTACTGAGTTCAAAATCCAAACTTTGAGGACCCCCACTTTCAAGTGGGGGCTGATTTCGGCTTGGTGTTGGGTTTGGGACTCAGCGGCCTGCTAAAGCCGGTACTTGTGGCAGCCTGTGTCGTGGTAGCTGCCTGAATTTTGCAAGTAGTTCGCGAACTGCTTCCAGCCATTCTGTTGAACGGCTGCCCTTGCTTGGGAGATTTAGGCGGTTAGGAGGTGCCTAGTGATGAAATACTGGCTGTATGTATGTCCTAATTAAGCGTGAGGACTGTCAGACCCTAATGATTGATGACGGAATGATTGTAATGTATCAGAACCACAGCAATGGACCTTTAGATAATTGCGGGGATGAATAACAGCCTTATGAACAGCTCTTTCAATTGTTCCCACGAAGGCTCTGGCTTTGCCGACCCTCCGGTCGCTGGCAGAGATGTTGGTCAGAGGCGCCTGCAACTGTCACAGTGCTTGATTGACAGGGCACGCTGCATTCATTCGTGTTACTGTTGTGTTCCCTTTGTCTTACGTGCCCTCACTCTGGCAATCACGCTGGCGCCTGCGCTTGCGCAAGGTGCGGGGTCCAGTCCTTGTGTTGTACAAAGTCGACATGCACAATTGCAGGGCCCTCAGCTACTCCAGTCTTATAAGTGTTTGAGACAAGAGCAAGAACTGCAAAACTCTGCCCTCTGCAATGAGGAGCACTGGAAAGCTATGCAGATTTGTGCTACAAGTCAAAACATTACGCCCTATCTGGGAGTTGATGGATGATGTCTCAGACCGCAACCCAAGCCCCTCTTCACTAAAGCCTCCATTTAAGACCAGAGACCTACACCACCCATGGAGAAGAGACATCTTGAAAACAACAACTCCACTCAAGCATGGCTCTAGAATCTGCGCTCCCGATAACTTGCATGCTAGGACATGGACTGTGGAGGAAGACTAAGCTTGCCTCCGCATGTAAACTCCTGACTTCGCGCTCTCACCCTAAAACCCAAATCCAGAATCCTGAACCAAGTGGTCCTCGGGCTGAAGGCATCGGGGCCATCTATGCTGCGCTGCCTGGTGCTGTGGTGTCTCGGGCTCCGCGCGAGGCCAGGTATGTAGCTGTCCAGCTGACTTTGGGATCTTTACAGTGGTCTGCGGATACAGTTTTCGAGTCCAGCCAGCTGCGACGAATGCTCAGATGCTTCCACTCGTATCCTGGGGATTTCGGTGTACTTTCCTCTGCCGAGAATTGAGGCTGTCATCAAGTTCAGGGTAGGCCAGCAGCCTGAGGGTGTAGATTGGTTTACTTTCTCCTTGTGCCGACAATAAGCCCTGGCGGGTGTCCTTACTTAGCTGAGGAGAAAGGTTGCAGATGTCATTTCTCCAAGACCACGAGCCGTAAAGGTTCAGTTGCGCAACATTCGAAAAAGACATAGCAGTTGTAGCAATTGCAGCTACAGCCGCCGGCCGGGGCTTCGCTAACTTTGCAAGGAAGATGCCCTTGCACTGAAGTTGGAAGAGGCCTGGCTCCTTAGCACTATGTGCTGAGCATGCTTTGGAAGAGGGACTGGGCGTCATCTCCAAGTCAAAGACACGCATGAGAACATAGAGACTCTGATGCCTTCGTGATGCGTGGGTTGAGCACTTCATGGTTACTTACATGCAGCCACATGCTGTTCCGGCGCAAAGAGAGAGTATCCCTGCTCGTGCATGCACCCCGCAATCCGCTCTTGCAAAGCTCTGACGCCAAGGATGGACCGCGGGAGAGCGCTCCCAGCGAGGCATCCACCACAACCACGGAGACTGGCCATGCCGCTTGACACGAAGTTAAGCTTCAAGCTCATGGAGTTCCAGGTTCAGATGACATGCCAGATGCGTGGTCATTTTGAACACCTGGACAGGTGAATGTAGCTCTAGCCCTGCATCTGGAATTCTGCAATGCTTGACTCCAAGGCATCATCCCAAGCCGCGTGCGAGTCACAGCCTCATTTGCATGGCCACGTCTACCCGAAATGCCATCGGCGTTTTCCGCAGAAGGTTGAAGCTGCACTTGTCATTGCGCAGAATTGTCCTGTCCTGCAGAGCCCTTGGTTCCCATGTCGAACTAGTAACTAGTAGATCCATAGAGATGCACAAGTCAAGATTTCCAAGCCATTCCTACTTCAGGAGTCCCCGCCGCAACTCCGGTGCTCTCAGCTTCGAGGTGGTCACCGCAGGGGGCTCCTCGGAAAGATAGATCTGACACTGACAGGTCATGCTGCTCTTTGGGGATTAGCACGTAGTATAGTCTGCACAGCATTGCATACTCCATGCTGGACATGCAACGCGCTGCGGAAGAAGATTGGGTGGCGAATTGGAGTCTGTCCCTCCCTCCACACTGAGGCTCCGGGCGGTTGCTGCGCCTGTCTGCAGCCACGAAGCGGGAAGCACAGCCCGGCGCCACAGGCTGCAGGTTTCAGTGAGGGGCTTCTGGGCAAGAGTTCAGCGCTAAGGGATCTAGACCTGAGTCGTTTTGGCGGTTTCATCAGCTGAGGCGACACCAAATATCTTTCTGTTCAAGGCAGTTGCTTTCGGCAGAGTGTAACAGAGATACCGTTCAGTTTGGATGGTCTTTTCATCAGCTCTGTCAGCTCCAGCTCAAAGGTCTCAGCAATGAAGCATCGAGTCCTCGAGGTCATGGCGTCAGCTGCTCGAAAGCGTGGCTGAGAAACCAGGCGCTACTACCGGGGTCAGGGGGTGGTCATTGCAAAGGTCTCGTTTGGCATGCGGCTCTTTGAGCCAACAATTTCCCTTAAACAGCCTTTTGACCATAGGTCAGGACAGCATGGCTGTGTACATTAGGCTTCCTTGATGGCAGGATTTCAGACCTTTAGGACCTGCAGGCTTAGAGGCTGCCATCCCCCCATGTTGGCAGGCAAGTTATAGAAAGCTTTGCAGACGCTGTTGCCAGGATGATGCACTCTTAGACCAGTGAGTATCACTCAACATATGGTCCAATTGCCAACTTTCATCCTGGGTTTAGAAAGGGTTCCAAGCATCTCCAAGTATTGCATTGGACACGGCAAATCCTTGCCTAAGCCGGAGAGCCGTACAAGGAGCTGGCTATCTTGCCGTTTCGCTGCCTGTGCCCAGTCGGGACCTCAACAAGGAACTTCTTTCCAGGCACCATGTGTCGAACTGTCGGAGCACTCTTGCTCCTTGCAGCCATTCCGCAAGATTTGAAAGGAGGGAGTATGCCAACTCCGCTGCTCAGACCTGGTGGCTCCAGGTCAGCACTCAGTGCCAAAGTGCTGCTGTTTGCTTCTGTGTACATCCTGCATGAAAAAAAGCCAGCCTTCAAACAGCTCCTAGAAGAAAACAAACTGCTCACAGGCGCACTGGCACTGGAGATGTCAAGGCTGAATTTGAGACCCTAGCCAGTAGTCAAAGTCATAGGGTAAGTGGCTTCTTCCTCCACAACCATTACTGCTTTCAACTTGTAGTGTACGACTTGCACTTGCGGCACACATCGCTCAAGAATCTGCGGCAGCGTGCCGCGATGCTGGCTTTCGCCTGCGGTACGACAGAGGGCAACGCAAAGGCATAGAAGCAGACACGGGCAGAGGGCTGCTTGTGTTTTAGGGTGTTTGCTACAATATGCGGACTTTCGCTCGTTATCTGGCCCCATTGAGACCCTTTCTGAGGGATCCGAGTCTCCTGCCAGAGGCATTTATAAACTTTATGCCGCTGTACTCCTGTGAGGTCTTGTTAATGAGTACGTGCTTCGGCGGATGTTGTTTCGATGTGATCCGTGTCTGCAGTCAGTGCAATGTTTCAACAGGAACAGGCGCCTCCATCCGCTATGGCATAAACCAGCATCCGGTCATGAAAGGCTGCAAGACGCTGCAAGACTTCCTCCTGTAGCCTCCTGTAGGTTCCGACCTTTGCCCCACTTCGTTGCCGCTCCGCACCCACGGCGCTGAACGAGCCGAGGCCGGAGTGCACACGTGAATACCTGCTCAAAGATACATGTCAATACTAATCAGAGCACTTCTGATATTGACTGGCTGTGGCCACGAAGAGTGCCTTGATCCCAAGACGCCTGAAGATGTGGCAATGCAGCGAAGACAATTGCTTCTGCTGCTGCTGTTGCCGTTATTTCCTTGATGACTTTGACACTTTGACATGTACCTGGCTTCCTTTGGTTGACCTCAGTAGTTGATGTTACAGATAAGGCTTTGAGTGCCATCATTTCAGCTGTTCCTCCTTGAGCTAATGCCACAGCCTAATTGGCTCTCTGCTTTTCCCGCGATTCCTCCCAATCTTTGACAGGCTCCTCCACAACTTCAATGCGGGGACGGGGTGGATGGTAATAGCGTGCGGGGGAGGATGACAAAAAAAACTGCTAAAGCAGCCTGTCAATTTCTGATATTTCTTCACATACGTATTCATGGACTAGCATAGCGGGATCAAGATCTGTACTAATGTGCTCTGCAGTTTCTGCCTCCTTGTCTTCTGGTTTCCTTATGCTCGAGTTCCAAATTACCACTCACTGCCCTTCGACTTTTGTTTGCTACGGTACTTGAGCGCTGCATCACTACTTTAAGCGCTCTCGTTTTGATGTCTTTCCTCACACAAGGCCCTCCCGGCTACTTCTGGCCTCGGCGATAGCCATCGCGGGGCGGCTGCGACGCACAGCGAGGAGGGCCAAGCTCTTCGGCGTCAGTGGGGCTGATGGATTTGCTGGCATCGGGGGAATCAGCACTCGCTGCTCAAAACATTCAGAAAAGTAGACATAGTGGATATAGTTACAGAGTTGGGCTGAAGTTATCTCTTGTAGCTGCACATGTTTTCATCGCATTATCAAGGCAGGTTGAACAAGGCTACCCAAAACAGAGCCCTAGACCCCATAGCCTTCTCTACACCCTGGGCAGATTCGAGTTCGAGGTGGGACTCGTGGAGCGCTGGGCACGGGGTCGAGCTCATCCAAGACGATGCCATTGCCAAACGAACGGACTGCTTTTGCGGTAGCCTGTCGTTTACCGATGTTTTGGCCTAGGTCGTCACCCCTGGAAAATGGCTTTGGGCTTCGATATATCAATAATGTGCTTTGGTCTCCCCTCCCTCTTGATGAGATCATCCAGAGCGTTGTCCCCCTGCTGTCAAGTTCGCCCCAGAGACTTCCTAAGACTGCTAAAGCAATCTCAATCCATGAAGAGGCCCACATCTAGACTCTGCTTGCAGGCATTCCCAAACTGGCCACACCCCACAGTTGCAAGTTCATGTCCCAGCAGGACCACTACTCTCGGCCAGAAGGCCATTGCATTGTTGTTTCGGATGGCCCGATCGCTGTAGCAGAAAGAGGCACGCGGTCTGAAGGATCAGAGGATCATAGGATTGCGTGGGCATCAGCAGATGCCGTGCATGAACTGAACAAGATACACTTCGCGGGGAGCAACAACTGACTTGAAATGCCGGTAACGATTCAGATAAAGCACCATGCGACATCTGAGAAAGAAAGATGCGAAACAGGGTTAAACGCAAGTGAGATCCATCCAAAAAAACAGTTCTTGCTATTTGAGATGATAAGGCCTTGTTATTGCCGAGAGTAACTGTTTCTTCGCCTTCCTGTTGCCCTGCAACTGAAAAGGCAGCTCGCGAGACTACTACGCCGAGGTGAAGATAGAGCACCATGGCAAATTTTAACGGGGGTTTAAGGGGACAAGGTTACATGAAGTGAGCACCTGTCAAATTGTCGCAGCCTGATGTTGCCACAATGGAATGATGATGTCGATGATGTTGGTGAAGATGACGACATCGACGAATTACGATGACGATGACGACGGTTGTGACGGTATGAAGTATCAACGTGCTACACGAACGAACAACAACAGCAATAATCGCAGCAACCGCGGCAGCAGCAACAGCTACCACGAGGATGACGGCGAAGAAACCAAAGAATCATAGGAGGACAACATTATGATGAAAAAGATTGCCAACGTGGTCATGACAACCGAGGGGGTTGGGATGTCAGCCCTGCTGCGGAAGCTTGACGCTCGCATACTGCATCATGAGTTGGCAACATTTAGGATGGAAAAATCACACACGGCCTACAGCTGCAGCTTCAGATTTCTCCATTGCCCCGCCACTGGCAAAGTGGGGGCCATGCTCATGTTTGTGGACTTTCACGTGTGGAATGCTACTTGTCAGCCTCAAGAAGAGCTAATACCAGAGGCCCTGCAACGCTTTAACCCGACATCTGCAGGAACGACGTGGACACTTGGTCCTCTGGTTTGGACATGGGACTCACACGCCTGCCCCCAGACGAGATCGGGAAGCTCAATGAACAGGGTGGGGCCGAGGGATTGTGACAAGGTCAAGGCGTCCGAGGTGGTTAGGTGTGGAAATTGTCCTACCTTTCCGAGGTTAACTCCTTGCTTGAGAGTATGCTCAGCTGGCCTGCCTGGAGCAGAGTTGATAAAGTGGTTATGTTTTAAAGTATCCTGACAACAGGCTTGTGCTGGGCCGACTTCCCAGACACGTGGGTACTGCGCGGCCACACAGCTGCAATGAGCGCCATGGGGATAGTGCCGGAGCAAGTCTTGAGCTGACATGTCAAACATCGCAGATCTGCCAGCAGGACCACCCTCGGTATTGGTACGTGTGTACCCTCCCCCAACTTGCTGTCAAAGAAGCGTGCATGACTGCACGTGTCCCGGCTTTAGCTCAATCATCCGCTAGCAGAAGCCGCACACATACGTTTTATCAGAAAGCGCTTGTTTGAAATGGTGAAAGGGGGACCAAGCTTCCTGTGAGATCGGGCAGGTCAGACTACCCCCGCCATCCTTCAAAACATAGCTGCAGCCTTCCAGGTGACGGGATGCTTCGAATCAACGGTCGCTCGTATCCCCCAGGCATGGAAGCGATATGAGGTTTCCAAAGCTCAGGGGTCCCTTCTTCGGGGGACCTATAGAAAGGTCATATACTGGGTGGTGTAAGGAGCACTCTCTATTGCTGGAAACTTGCTTCTGAGCATCTGTACTCATAGCTAGAACCTGCATAGTAGCAACCTCCAAGCCGGTCGGGATGGTCGGACATGGTTGGTTCCAACACCTGCCTCGAGTCATGCGTTGCTTTCTGGACCCTGGTGGGGGCCCTCCGGCTAGTTTGCTTCAGGAGTCCTGCCCAGCCGTGCGGCATCTCTTACTGGCTGGGATACGGCCACCTTGGACCCTCGCCTACTTTTTTTTCGGATTTGTGTCGGCTGCATGGCCTTTACGAGTTTTCAAGTTGGTGCAACAATTGGGAGGCATTGGCCTGCAAAGTGCATCTAACAAACATGGTCTGCCGCATACAACTTGGATCCAATCTGTTTGTAGTCACCTTCTGCTGCTCAGGAGATGGGAGATACCTGTGGGCTCCAGGCCAGGTGCAAAATATGCGGAGGGTACGGGAAAGAGTGCTTCGGAGCTGTGCTTCGGAGCTGGGCTTAACAAATGCCGGTTTGTTTCAACATAGGAGATAACAGTTCATAAAGCCAACGGTATAACATCATCTTACGACGCCAGAAACTCGCGACGGCAAGAACCATTTGCAAGTTTGCATCCAACGCTACGAGTGCAGGTGACAAGCGGAGGCTCGGAACTTGTGGGCTACAGGCCTGACCCGATGCTGAACCTACCCGATTGCTGGCCATGTTCATCCTTAGCCTCACATTTTTGCATGCTTAATTTGTAATGTTTGTCGTCATGTCGCCCAACTGTGCTGGATGGCGACTACCTTACCCTCGTGGAACCCTGTATGTGCATTTGATACTGTAGAACACCTATGACCGATTTTTCGGACCCCCATATGAGCTGCCGAAATTTAGGGGTCCCTTTTCGGGGGGCACCTCTATACAAATCACAGAGAGACTATATCATATTAAGATACGTGAGTTGGACGATGTTTGACCCTTTCGTTTCCAGGTCCTTCTGGCCGGGGTACAGGAGAATTGCAACATCAGGATAGCTGGCGTATGTTGTGCCTGAACTACAGGGCTCCCAGAGCACAGCCTGCATCAAGTGTGTATAGGGCGCACAGTCAATTTTGCACAGCTCTTACGCTGTTTGATGCGCGCGCCTAGACACTTGGGATCGCAATCTTCATGCACCATGCCGCTTTGATAACGCCAAAATTGTTAAGCCTTACCTGAAAGGAATGGCGAAGAAATCGGCCGGCTGTCTCTGGAGGATGGCATAAAGGCGGGTGCCCCGAACTTTGTTGAAGTTGTTGGACTCGAAAGTATTGCCAATGCCAGTCAGCCAAACATTCTGCCACATTTTGCCAAGATGGAGGTTGACAATCCGCTGCTTGTAATCCGCAAGTCACTGTAGAGTCCTGTGATTTCACTGCAGCAGTGTCTCTTTCCTCAGAGCAGGCACTCCAAACAGCCGACACAGCACTTTTCTACGACCCTTGGGACCGCCCCGAAGACCCAGAGCCGGATGTTGTCATTCGAAGGGGCAAGCCGCGGGCACAAATGTTAGGTCCCACTGGATGCAGACCTTTATCTTGTGGCTGACATCATCGGCCGTGCTGGCGAGGTCTAGAGCTCAAGTGAGGGATTGCGGAGGGAAGATGGCTTGCCGTTACAAGGTTGCAACTTCTGACTGCTTTGCTTTAGTGTGTTTTGCATTCTTATTCGTACTCTGTTGATACATGGTCATCGAAGCATCGGTCGAGAACTGCTGGGATCTTGACTTTGCCCTCCAAGTCAGCCTCAAACTTGAACAGCAAACGACGGTTTTTCCACCAAAAAAACGGCTGTTCAGCTTCGCAAGACTTGCAGGTCGAGATCTTGGACTGCAAGGTGCCTGGCCCTGCAATTTCCGCGCCTCCGCCAAGCGCCCCCATACCGCCGACACAGCAGGCGTCGCCTCCCAACGCCCCGCACCTTGGTCGAACAATTTTGCAATAAGAAAATCACAACTCGTAATGGGAATCACTGATTCTAGCTACTGCTAGCCATACAATACCAGGAATACAAGAGCTATGGTAGTTCCAATACAGCAGTGCTTGACTGAAGAAGAACGGAGAGAAAAGCAGAAAGAAGATGAGTGGTGACCATCACCTCGGAAGTAGGAGCCTTCCAGTTATGTATATGGTTGGGAGGGATTTAGCATGATCTTTTCCAGTTTTTTGTCCGGAGGCCTTGTGTGGAGTTGGCTGAGCTTGGGTTGGTTTACAAGCAGCTCTGTTGCGTTGTTTGCTCTTGCTCCAGAAGACCCCCAAGCAGCAACAGCTGTGTATGGCTTCACACAACAAGAAGATTTTGACATGCGCTGCAGTGTCTAAAAGCAAGAATTCGAAACGATGAACGTAGCTGGCGAGGCCCTTGACCCTTGTTTAGAGCAGCTTTGTGCCCCAACTGCTGACTCCGCTCAGCCCTCGCGCTAGGCCTTTGAGGCCTGAAGAAGTCATCTGGGCAATCATGCAGAGACGGCCGCCGATGTACAGGAATCCACCTGAGCTGCCGTAGCTAATGGCCTGGTCAGGGCCAGCGTAGGGAGTTTCTCTCAGAAGCGTGGGCTGCTTCCTCACCGCAAGGCTCCTCAGTTTCAATGGAGCCTTTCGATGTTCAGAAAAAGCTGGAGGCAGAATTCCAAGGATCCGCTACCAATGCCAACAAGCCGCGCACTTTTCAACCTATAGTCACGACGTAGGCATGCAAAAAACGCAGAACGTGATCGCTGCACAGAAGAAGCCGTATCAATAAGGTGGCATAGCGATCAACAGATGCAACGTCTAGTGCCGCAATACGAAACCGGGGAGAGACAAAGTGAAAGTAGCGACAAGGACATGAACCAGCTGCCTCTGGCAAGTTTCATTGATTTGGTGCAAGAGCATTCTGCTCTAGAATTGGACGAAGCCGCGTGCTTTCAACCTTCTGCAGCCGGCAAGTTAAGGGCCGGTCAATGTTGCAGAACTTGTCTGCATTCTCATTCTCTGACGAATATCTGTAAGTCCTGTGGGAGGTAGGTGCTCTTCGCTGGCATCTTGAGCAGGTTGAATAGCAGGGTTGCTGTTGATAAATGGCGTTAGCCCTGCTGAGCAAGAATCTGGGCCTGCCGAGCTCCTTCGCAAGATGGATTGGAGAGCTTCGGCGAAGGCTCTTGCAGAGCTCAAAGAACGTCGCAAACCCTGAATGCCTCGCCAATTCGAGAATTACTTGCATTAGACATGTCTGTGGTTATCTTTGTTGTCACTAGTGGTGTCATTGTCGTGACGTTGGTGATGCTCTTGTTTCTTCTTCATGTTATTCTTCGCGTCTTCTGAGGGTGATCGCTGCAAAGCCTCTAAGCGACACCTAGCACAGGCACATGCCGAGCTCTATGATGGTTCCGAAGGAATTTGGCTGCACGCTGTCATTGCTAAATGCCTGAGACTTCTCCAAAGCAGTCTGAAGTCATATAGGGAAGCTTGGCCTTCAACTCAAAGGCTCCGCACAAGCTCCATGATGGGAGTTTCAGGTTCAGGCAAGAGCTCAAGAGCTCTACCCGCTTGACAGACGTTTCCTTGCTTCTGTTCCTTTGTGAAAAAGGAGTGCAGCAGCGGCCTGAAGGCGTTGTACGGGACAATCTTACAGCTTGTGAAGACCAGCGTTGCGTGGTGAGCACCTCCTTGAATTCAAGCTGCAGCAATGGTGAGTTGGCCAGTAGTTTCTTGGAATGTACTGGCAACTGAAAGTCTGAAGTGCTGGGAACAGTATTTGCACCCCAGCCTTCTGAATGCTCGGCTATGAGGAAGGGGCCGAGCATTCAAGAGCTCAGGTCGTGGACAGAGCTGGACGGCACAGACACTCTTCTGCGCGGCAACCCTGACATGTCTTCGCAGAGTTGAGATTGCTTCAACTTTGTATGGACTTGACAGTTCCGACCATTTTGTGTAGTGGCTTTGGTCGGCCGTATACATCACCGCCTATGCGGTCCAGTGAATGGTTTTGCACTTGTAGCCTGCGACAGGCGGCGAATGGAGAGCTTGCAGCTTTCAGCAGGTGGGAGCGCAAGAAAAGCAGTCATCTTTGCTTAGCTGGTGTTTGAGACGTTTTGGATGCGGACTTTGCTTCTGGGCCAGTCTTTGAAGTGTTCGCCAGGCCGCGTGATGCCTTGGAGGCATCACCACCGGTCGGCTACTCAGCTGCTGCTGCAGCACAAGCTCCGTGTTGTTGAGCTAGGGCGATTCAGGTCAGCGGTGAGTTTAGGGCTTCGTATGGCGCAATGGCTTTGTGTTGCACATGCGCGACCGTTTCTCTGATCTTCAGGGATTTGCCGGAGTTTGAAGATGCGTAGCTTTTACCAAGCATCCGGCATAACGGCATAAGCGACAAGTAGCTGTTTCTAGCCGCTGCAAGGCCTGAGATTTTAGGTTAGCTTGCACTCCACAATCTGTGCAGCTTCAGCATCTTCCTATGAGCTACTGCACCGAAAGCAAAATCTGCCTTCAGGTCATCTCGTGGAAGTTGTCAGAGTTTGCGACCTGCCGCGTTGGCTTCGGGACCCCCCTGCATGCCAGCAAACTTGCTGTTCAAGGAGGCGTGGATGACCATACCATACCATGCCATGCCATACCATACCATACCATGGAGGTCAATTATGCGGGTGCTTCCAATGCAATCCTACCGGCTCAGGTGATGAGATGTAGCGGACAGTGGCCTTGCTGCTTGCATTCAAAACATGGAATACAATTACAAACATCAGCTGCGCTGTTATGCTTCGACCCGTGTGGCACGTCAGCAACGTTATGTTTTTGCACGGTTCGTTCTCTTGATGAATGCTGGTCAAATCCGGCGAGCTTCACCCAAAAACAACAGGCGATACTTGGCGATCACGGCGGTGTTCCGGCAAGCCCTGAGCGAAAGCCAAGAAACGGGCAAGACCAAGGGATCAGGCATTCTTTGCAGGAAGCCTACAGCAATCATGTCAATCCTTCTCAGCAGAGGTAACATGCAGCTTCTGAACCTTGCGAAATCTGTGCCACATGTGAGAACTTCTTGGGAAAGACATGTTAAAATCCTTCCTACGCAAGTCCCACGGTTACCAGGTCCCCATCCCGGTTTCCGCAGGAGTTTTCAGCTTCGACGACGAGGAGATCCTGCCGAGCCTGAGACATGGCATTTTACGTGCCAGGACCCAGCGTCGAAGAGGGGAAGGGGCGGTGGTTGAGACGTGTAGCTTAGAGCTTTGGGTCCAGCATAGGATGGCCGGGAAGCAGGCGCAAAGCGTGCCGTTTGCCATTTCAATTGCGGTGCTTCTCATGCTGAGCTTGGGGTTCAGCTGGCACACAGGTGGAGGTTTCATGGTTCAGGCGCATGTGAGATCAGTGTCTGCCCTGTGCTTCAAGTCAACTGGAAAGATATTAGAAAGGGAAAATTAATTTCAATGTCTCCACAGCTTGATGCCGATCGAGGATGTCTTTCTTCATCATCCGGAATCTGTACCTACATAGCGTGACATAATACCTGGAGTGTTATTCTTATAAACGCTTGCTCCTTGAAATGCAGACACCGTGGTTTTGTGGCGTCCCAGCGGGAACCAGAGCAACGGCAGCAGCTGATCCCCCACTCGTGTACAAAGTGTTTTCCTGCAAAGCGAGGACGTTTCAGATGCACCTCGCTGGGTGGAGATCCTTTCGCAGCCGACACCTGATGCTCTAGAGGCCGCTACGAGGGCTGCACGGTGTTGAATCATCATCCAACTCCCAAAGGTACAAAGCCCCTGAATGTAAATGTGCGGCTGCGTCTTGTTGTGCCAGTCTTGTTGGGTCGGCAGGTTGCCATACGCAATTTCTACTAGGATAGTTGGCATCCCAATTTTGTGGCCTGCGCTGGCAATATAGCTGGATGATCTTGGATGTGGATGTGGAAACCAATGGACTTTCCAACTATGATGATCGACAGAAATCATTGTTAGAGCCAGCTGTGATTGGAACGCAGGTACGGGCGGAAGGAGAAGCTGTGGCGAAGGTGGCCAGCGAGGCCGCCAATCACCACGCCAATACATCCTACCGTCAACAGTTCTGACACAGGTTGGACTTTATTTTTTCGATCGATTTGAAAGCAGCATTGGTGATGCTTGTGTGCTGACTTGTGCGAGCTAGGCTCAGAGAAGCCGCTGCCACAACATGCACCATTCTGACAGAAACTTTGCTGGCAGCAGCATTGATGATGGTGATAGTCTCGACATCCACATCACATGAATGGTCAGCCAGGGCTTGAGCGGACGGGCGGTGCCACCTTTATCCACCAGAGCCTTAGAGGAGGCTGGGCATGAATTCTGTGGAAATCGCAGTTAGCTCCAAGAAGGCAAACTGCGTGTAATGGACATGCATGGATGGACAGCTAGTGCCTGAGTCTGGCAAGTGAGGCCCAGAACCTTACTGTAGCAGCTTGTTGACCAGAAGAGCAGAATGAAGTGCAATAATGATAGTATAGCAAAAAGGGGAAACATCGACTTGAAAATGGATGGCACCAGCAAATCTTGCTGAGAGCCTCAGGCGCGACAAGCCAGCCAGCCTGGTCTTCAGCGCATGGACTCCAGCTGCCTGGAACAGGCATCCAGGGCGCTGAGATGCTGCTCGTGGAAGAGCATTTGGGAGTCGGAGGTGTCAGTCTACAGGGCTACTTCAAGATATGACAGGGTTCATCATTCTGACAATGGGCGAAAAGTGCAGAACCCAGCCATAAATTACCATAAACGTGCGAATGCTAAGATGTGGCTTCTCGGAGGTGCTCCCAACTGATACTTTTCAGAACTCTGCGCATTGCTTGTCTCAAGTAAAGCCAGGCGTTCGGTCCTGTCTCCGGCCGGCGAGCGGGTGCAGAGCAGCTGAGAACAGCCCTGGGCCGCGAGGCGTTCAATGCCACAAAGCCAAGCCAAGCACGTGCGGTGATG